TTCTTCTTCCAAAATTAGTTTTCATTTATTAACATTAAAATTAATTAATATTATTTTTCATTTATTAATTATAAAAAAGTACTTATGTCCATAACATTTTAGTAGCACAAGAGCTTTTCTTTTTTTTCCAACTATATATTTTAATTAACATATATACTACTATGCTGCTATTAATTTTTTATTTATTAATATTAGCATCAAACTCTAAAGCATTAAACACTAAACCACTGAGGAATTCACTTTTATTTTTTAGGGAGGTTTTCGCCATAGGGCGTGTGTGCTCACCAGACAGACACAGAGAGACAGAGAGACAGAAAGCAAGAAATCACCCCCCAGGGAGGATGGCCACGCCGCAATCCCTTCTCCTCCATTCTCCTCTCAGGATCTTGGGCACACACGTACACGCGCCCGGTGTGAGTTTTAAGCCACTGGGTCCAGGACGCGAACTGTAGTTGACTACATGGGAGTCCAGTGACACAGCCATTATGCTAACTGCTGGTCCCAGGAATTCACTTTTTAAATGCCTGACCTCTTGAAAACAAATTATCCTAACTGTTTAAGTGACCGATTACCGCGAGGAACTCTCCCCGTTTAAGCATTTGTTTGCCTGTTACAAGATGAGGATTCTTGATACCTGAAAAATCTTTCTTGAGAGTCTTGCTGGGGGGTTATAGGTGCTCATATTGTTTTATTTACTTTTGATATCTAGTGATTAGAACTCCCAAAGTTAAATATGGGCTCAAGTACAAAACTGATTATTTCCCAGATCTCCTGAAGATGTTACTAAACATGGTATCAAAATTAAAAGGGTTCTGTGGCCCATTGATTTGGCATGCTTTGTACATCACTGTCTCTCCCTGAGATTCAAATATTTTGTAGAATATCGCAAGCTCTCAAAAGGATCACCATGTCCATATCCATGTAGCACAGCATCTCCCAAGCTTATCTATGCAGTTTACCCCAAACACATAGCCCAAGATTTATCATGAAAACCAGAAAATGTCAATGAAAGGCTATTCTACAATCTGTCTGATTGATACCCTTCAAAACTGTCAAGGTCAAGGCTTTAGAACCAAAGGAGACATGTAAACGAAATCTACTCTGGTATTCTTGATGAGATCTTGAAACAATAAGGCATTAGATAAATACAAGGTAATCTAAATAAACTATCAAAGTTAGTTAATGGGAACCAGCAGTTAGCGTAATGGCTATGTCGCTGGACTCCCACGTAGTCGACCGCAGTTCGTGTCCCTGACCCGGTGGCTTAAAACTCACGCTGGGCGCGTGTGCGTGCATGCCCAAGATCCCGAGAGGAGAATGGAGGAGAAGGGATTGCGGCATGACCATCCCCCAGGGGGGTGATTTCTCACTTTCTGTCTCTATGTCTCTCTCTGTCTGGCGAACGCACGCACCCTATAGCAAAAACCTCTCCAAAAAAAAAAATGTTAATAATAATATATCAATATTGGCACTAATTAATTATAAGAAACATACCATACTAGTGCAAGATGTTAAAATTAGGGAAAACTGGGGCCAGCAGGTGGCATGGTAATTGAGGTACTAGACTTCCTCACCTCACATAGTCAACTGCAGTTCAAGTCCCAGACCTGGCAGCTTATTTTGTTGCTTTCCCTCTCTCTCTCTCTCTCTCTGATCAAATTAAAATATAATAATGATAACAAATGTAATTAAGCAAATAAATAATTATTTAAAATAATAAGGGAAACCATGTGCACAGGGTAACAGGAACTCTCTATACAATCGTTTCATTTGTCTATAAATCTAACACTATTATTATTATTATTTTGGGGGGAGAGACTTTTGCTGTAGGGCGACTGCGCTCGCCAGACAGACAGAGAGAGACATTAGAGAAAGAAAGCGAGAAATCACCCCCCAGGGGGGATGGTCACACCGCAATCCCTTCTCCTCCATTCTCCTCTCGGGATCTTGGGCACACATGCACACGTGCCTGGTGTGAGTTTTAAGCTACCGGGTCCGGGACGCGAACTGCGGTCGACTACGTGGGAGTCCAGCGACATAGCCATTATGCTAACTGCTGGTTCCCTATCTAACACTATTTTAAAAATATGAAGTCATTTCATAAAAACAGCTCCATTAATAAGGCATGTACTTCATTATATGAACATTTTTCTATTGACAGTATTTGTGCTGCATGCAAAATAGATTAGATCATAGAAGGATGTGGAAATTTTAAGCTGGTAAAGGAAAAGTAAAGAAATGAAGGCATATAGAGATAAGGATGCTGAGGGAAGCAAGAGCCTCTCTATCAATAAAATGTTGAGCCAGAAGATCATAATTTGAATTTAGATAATTGCCTCACTCCCTTGAACATATGAAGATGCCACAACTCATAGGAAACACAATGCTCAGATTCCCAAATTAGGTCCTTTGATATTTGACTGGAAGAATGGTAGATGGACTGTAGAACATTGCAGAATTGTCCTTCTAAAGGAGGTAGCTAAGTTTTCAGCTGTACACATGGAGAAGCTGATTCTGAGGATGCATCCTCCTATCTAGCTCCCATGGCTGGGACATTTGCTGTGTCTTTTGAAATGTTCATTCAGTCTTATGCAGTATCTGGGGATGGATTTGCATGTAACCATAGCTCTCATACTTACCAAGTTTTACACTCCTTTTTTTTTCTTAAAAAGAATTTTTTATTTAATTTTATTTATCATTATTATTATTATTTTAATTTGCTTTAGAGAGAGATAGGGAGAAAGAGGGAGGTAAGAAAGCAAGCCACCAGGTCCAGAACTCAAACCATAGTCGACCATGTAAGATTCCAGCTCCTTTAACCACCACGCCACCTGCTGGCCCTGATACACTCCTATTCTTATGCCAATGATTTCAGAAGAAAACTACTTAAAATGCTTTATATGTAATGACTGGAGGTATCATAACCGGCAGTATAATTATTAAAACAATAACAAATGTAATAACTGCTATTTATTGAACTGTGCTGAAGCTTTTATTTTATTCCATTTAAACCTTGTAACAAACCAAAGAGAAAACTCTTCTGTATATCTACTTTTTTTATATAGCTGCTGATGTAGAGATGTTCCATGGTTTAATCTTTTTTTTTTTTTTGAAGAGGTTTTTCCTATAAGGCATGTGAGCCCGCCAGCCAGAACGAGAAACAGAAAGAGAGAAATAACCCACCAGGAGGGATGGCCATGCCGCAATCCCTTCTCCATTCTCCTCTCGGGATCTTGGGCATGCACGCACACGCGCCTGGCCTGAGTTCTAAGCCACCGGGTCTAGGATGCGAACCGCAGTCAACTACATGGGAGTCCAGCGACATAGCCATTACGCTAACTGCTGGTCCCCCTGGTTTAATCTCAAGCCTATCAATTAACGTTTTAAAAGCTAAACTTCTTATGACTTGTTAAACTCTATTCTTAGGGAGGATAAGTAGAAGCCCTTTTAGCAAAAAGTTTTGGGGGAGTTTTGGTGTTGTAACCAAATAAATTTAAATGAATTAACTCATCTGTTCTTCCTGGAATGAATAGAATATGGAGGGAGCTGTTGATAGCAAAAAATTCAGTAGGGAATCCGATAGGAAAGCTTACTTTCTTAACATATTAATGTATTCGTAGTGTCTCTGAACTGATCTGGATAATAGGAAGTAGATTTGTCTTAGTACAGTTTTTGATTGCTCGGAGGTCTTTTCTTGAGTTTCTTGAATGATTGAATTAAAAAAAATTAAAAGGCGTTCTTTGTTCCCATCAGGTACAGTCATTACCTATGTCTTCACTCTCTCTGCGGGGATAATAAGTCATCAATGACTTGTCATCACTGGCAAAGGCATTCCAAAACTTAGTGGTGAATCACTTCTCATCAATTACCTGTCTAAGTTTGTAGCATCAGCTGATAAGAGATGGTTGTGCAATATCTGCCATACGTGTAACGTGTATGGAACACCTCCTCCTCGACTAATTTATTCTTTTCTATAATTTACAGCTTCCAGATATATGTCAGTGATTTAACTTCTTTAGATCTTATTTGAGTGAGTGGTAAGATAATGCCATAAAGCAGGATGTAAGCCTGATACTTTATTTTTATCCTTTCTCTCTATGAGACTGACATTAATAGAAAATGTCATTCCCTCTTAATCTATAGATGAGGCTTAGAAAAGTTTGTTGAAAAATTAAGTCAGAACTATTATTTTTTAATTCACAGTATTCAGAAAAGTATATCTACCTCTGACTTGAAATGAGTGAAACTCAAAGGGTTAATTGGTTGGCCATTGTCTTTCAATTTCACTGAAAGTTGTGTTTTTAAGAGATTACTTGGGGGACCAAGTAATGGTTACTTCACTGGACTCCCATGTAGTTGACTATGGTTCAGTCCTGGACCTGGTGGCTTAAAACTCATGCTGGGCGCATATGCGTACGTGCCCAAGATCCCAAGAGGAGAATGGAGGAGGATTTGTGATATGTGCAGTGATTTCTTGCTTTCTGTCTCCCTGTCTCTCTTGCGAGCACATGTGCCCTACAGCAAAAATCTCTCTCTCTAAAAGAGAGAGAGAGAGAGAAATTACTCGGCGAGTGAATGTCTATAATCCAGCATTTCCCCTCTGCTATTTCTCTTCCTGCCATTTTGTACTTAATTTTCCTCATACTGCAGATTTTTTTATGCTGAAGGGGACTCCTTTATTCTACCATATAGTCAATATTCAAGACCATATGTCAATGAAAGTTAAGATATGTCTTTAAATGCCAAGCACTAGTTAATAGAAGAAAAAGTGTATATCTAGAGTGATCATGATTTTATATTAAAAGATTAAATCTTCTACAAATAGTTTGTAAAAATCCAAGGTTTAATGATGGTGAGTTCATGATATTAATGAAGGGTTATTGAACATGTTTCTTTGCCTAAAGAAAACTGCTGGATTTGCTACAGATTTCTCCTATCTTATTACAGGAGATCAAATTTCCTCAAGGTGATGGCTCCTATTTTTCCTCTTCCACTTGCAGGAGAACTTACAGGGCTTTGAAGAATGGCAGATGAACGGAAAGATGAAGCAAAGGCACCTCACTGGACCTCAGCTCAATTAACAGAGGCGTCTGCACACCCACATCCACCTGAGATTAAGGATCAAGGCGGGGCGGGGGAAGGACTTGTCCGAAGTGCCAACGGATTCCCATACAGGGAGGATGAAGAGGGTGCCTTTGGAGAGCATGGGTCACAGGGCACCTATTCAAATACCAAAGAGAATGGGATCAACGGAGAGCTGACCTCAGCTGAGAGAGAAACCGCAGGTAAGAAAGGCTCTTCTGTCACTTGTGCTTGCTTTTTGCTTTGAAGTCACCTTAGGTTGAAAGCGAATTCATGTACAGCACTGATCTTTCTTTAGTCCAGGACTGGAATTCCAGTCAGTCAGGGGAAATAAACACCCAAAGGAAGGAAAAGTCATGGCGATCCGCTCAACATTCCCCAAATTAGTTGCATTCTCAATTGCATTTCCCTATTTAATATGTGCAGACAAATGGTTCAGTTTATGTGCTTTTCTAGAAAATAGCATTTTAACCCATTGAAGAAAAACTTCACAAATAGTTTCTTTTTAATTCTCTTGAATTACATTGAACCTAAATCCAATAGATTAACTAGAAGCATGTTTAGTTTTTAAGGCAGAAAGAATTAAAAAATCCATCTCCCCAACTTTCAAAAAACAAAAATAATGAAGAAAAAGAGAAACAAATACATACACATATAAAGAACTATTTCATATTTCCTCAGATAGCTTTTTTTAAAAAGTGGTATAGAGGGGAACCAGCAGTTAGCATAAAGGCTATGTCGCTGGACTCCCACATAGTCGACCACGGTTCACGTCCCGAACCTGGTGGCTTAAAACTCACGCCGGGTGCGTGTGCATGCGTGCCCAAGATCCTGAGAGGAGAATGGAGGAGAAGGGATTGTGGCGTGGCCATCCCCCCTGGGGGGTGATTTCTCGCTTTCTGTCTCTATGTCTCTCTCCGTCTGTCTGGCGAGTGCACACAGCCTATAGCGAAAATCTCTCAAAAAAAAAAAAAGTGGTATAGAGAGACTTGAAAGATAATATAATTTTCTCCTAAATACTTCCTTTCAAAGTATAGTTTTGACCAATAGTCACCTTTACTGCATAATTGATAAGAATCATTCATCATCAATGTTATAGTCACCATAAAGCATTAATGGCATTAAGAAATAAGCCTCGATTGTGATATTCTTCGCTGTTAGTTTTCTTATTTTCTGTAGTTCAGAATTTTATGTATGTGTACTCAGCAACTTGTAGACAGTAACTTACACTTGAAATGGAAGTAAACAAGTAGTAAGAGAGGCTATGCTGCCTTCAAAATCACTTCTTATTTATGCAAAAATTGGCTTTCTATACTCCATGAGTCAGCACCATTTATCAGCACTCTGGAAAAAAAAGTGTTTAATTTTTTATAGGAAAATATGAAATGCATTTCAAATGATAGAGGAGAAATTATAAAAGTACATAGTGAGAAAAAAATGAAAACCCTTATTCATTCAACAATTGAGCACTTTCTACATGCAAAGTGTTGTGTTAGCTTCTGTTCCGGGCTGTGTGTAAAGGGCAGTTCCTCAACATCATGGATTAGAGGATATCCTAACACACGTGAGACCTGTGCACAGTTAATTTTTAAACAAGAACAGCATGTTTAGTGTCAAATGAACAGTATAAAAGGCACATTTGAAGAGAATTATTTCTACTTAGAACCAACATTCCCAAATTTTGTATAGAAGTGTTTTGGGGTGCCATGGTACAATCACAACAGTGCAGCAAGGTACTTCATGGTTACAGTGAAGATTAAATACTCAAGGAAAATAGAAATACTCAACATCTGTCATACACTGCATGAACTGCTAGTTCAAGATAGTTCATGGTTTCAACATTATTTCACAGTGTATTGCTTTTGAAAATGACATCTTTGCAAAGTCAGGTTTTCAGCAATTGTTCTGAAATAATAAGTGCCCTGCAGAAATCCAGGAGAAATCGGAAAAGGGGCTGGTGGTGTCTAATCTGATTCAAGGATTTGAGAAGGTGTGCAGTGCCCGAAAGGCACATCTTTCCTATTAGTAAGATATGGTGTTTGGGGCCAGCAGGTGACATTAAGGTGCTGGACTCCCACATGGCTGATCACGGTTCAAGTCCCAGACCTAGCAGCTTAAAATTTATGCCAGGTGCATGTGCGTGCATGCCCAGAATCACAGGAAAAGAACAGAGGAGGCAGAATTGGGGTGTGGCCATCCCCCTGGAGGGCTGATTTCTCACTTTCTGTCTCTGTCTCCCTTTGTCTCTTCGGGAAGCACACACACCCTATAGCAAAAATCTCTTAAGGAAAAAGAAAAAGAGAGAGAGAGAAAAATTATAGTTAAGAATGTTATAAAACCATTATTTTCACTTTTGTGGTTATGATGAGGATTAAAATATGTTTGTAAAGTGTATAAAAAGAATAGCTCAAGAAACAGTAGTTATTTTCTTTTTTAGTATCAGAGGGTATGTGCACTCACAAGAGAGTGAGAAAGAGTCCGTCAATGGGGCACCATCACACCATAATCTTTTTCCTTCGTTTCTCCATCTTATACCTACTGCACACACATCCAGTGTATTTTTTCAAGCCTCTGAGGCTGGAATTCAAATCACAGTTGGCCATGTAGAACCCACCTCTCAATGTACAGTTCTTAACCACTGGTCAGCTCAAAATAGTAGCTATTAATTACCATTAGTATTTTAGAATGGTGGTCTCAATATGGACAACATAGCACTTTGGTCAAGGAACATTAATTATTTTCTATCGAGTGTAACACAACTTGAAAAAGGTCGAACTGAGTGTCAGGAACACTAAGGATTTTGAAGGGATTGAGGTCTGAGGGGACAAGAGCTTATTATAGAAAAATGCTTTTGAAGAGGAAAAAAATAAAGTAACCATCCAAAATTTTTCTCATTATCATATCCCATAACACCTGGGACTCTCCCTCTAGTACTCTGCAAATTTGTGTTGAGTGAGTGAAAGAATGAGTGAATAACTGCAGGATGAAGAAAGTCCTTTTCAAATTAACGATGAAAACTACTGAAAAGTCTCTTTTCCCTTGAGTGCTTACAAGTGACTCTCACTGACTATTGTGAAGACTTATAAGACACTCAAGAAAAAAATCATTGTAGTGTGTATTTGGCCAAGCAGCAGAGAACCTACGTCACTCACTATTTTATTTGCTCAGGAGTCTTAATTAAGCATTTAAAAGCATTAGAAAAATCTGCCAGATTGGTATGTCCTTGCCACCTTCTTTGAGATGATAATATAAATTTAAGAGACTTTCTTTTAAGTGATGGTTTCAGGAGCATACAGAATTCATTTTGAATGCAGCTTAATATATATCAAAGGAATTTTTTGAGAGATTTTTGCTATAGGGCATATATGCTCACCAGAGACATAGAGAGAGAAGTGACAAATTACCCCCATGGAGGGATGGCTATGCCACAATCTCTTCTCCTCTGTTCGCCTCCTGGGATTTTGAGCATGCCCCTGCCTGGTGTGAGTTTGAAGCCACTGGGTCTGGGATTCAAACTGTGGTTGGCCATGTGGGAATCCAGCGACATAGTCGCTATGCCATCTGCTGGTCTCACAAAGGAATTTTATATTATTTTACATATGTTCATAGCGATAAAGATGGTAAATAATTATCTGTGGGTTATCAGGGTAATGTATGTAATCCAAACTATGGTGTAATTTTAAACTAACTTCTCTCAAAAAGTAACATAGTATTAAATTTATATGCTGTGTGACAACTGAAGGAAAAGGAAAATGTAAAATTTTGTTTCCCCATACATACAAAGGATGTTCCAGTGATAAGTTAATATGCAACTAAATTTTCTCCAAACCCTATTTTAGTAGTTTAACAAATTTATCATTGATGGTTTATACACAATGATCGTGTTTCATAAACTATGTAGCAAAAGTCATTCCCAGTAAAAAGAAATGTTCTTTTTTAAAAAATTTTATCTATTTATTTATTTATTTATTTTTATACATTCAATTTAATTATTTAGATTACAAAGTGAACTTTTCAATATGTGAACATTTCTCCCCATCCCAGTTGATCAAAATATAACAACACTACCTCCCTGTCCTGACAATGCTCTGTCTAAATGTTCTTAAGTGTCAGCTATGGTCTTTAAAAATGTTATGCTCTTTTTCTCTTTCTACACAACACACACACACACACACACACACACACACACACACTCACGCACACACATAAAGTTTATTTATTTCTTCCATGAAAGAGAGAGAAGGAAGCACCCCAAACATGGTCTTCATGCCACAGTCTAGTCTCAACCAGCTGAGATCACAGACACACATGCCAGCATACTTACCAAGATCCCGGGACATGAACCCAGGACCTGGCCAATGTGAGTCCAGTTGTATTACCACTGTGCCATCACCTGGCCCTGGCTAGTATTATGTTTTAGGTGATTATTTATTTTTCTTAGAATTATTTATTTTACTTATTATTATTGTTTTGTTGCTGTTGTTGTTGTTGTTTTCATTTGATCACAGAGAGACAGCAAGAGAGAGAAAGGAAAAGTAAGAAAGCAAGGAGCCAGGTCCAGGATTTGAGCTACAGTAGGAGTCCAACACCTTAGCCACCACATTACCTGCAAGCCCCAGGTGATTGTTTAAAGAGGATCAAAGCTAAATACCAACTCACTTTTTTTTCATGTACAACAATCTGTCAGTATTTCTTTCTTTCACACTATAAAGAAGATCTCTCAGGACATTGTTGACATGAAGCATTTCTCAGTCACATCAGATCCTCAGCTCTTTGTTATGGTGGCCAGGTCTTTACTAGTTGTGTACAAAAATCACCCCTCTACATTCTTTCTTTACTATAGCTCTCTCTTTATTTTTTAGAAATACATCTTTTCCCAAGTTTATTTTAAGTTGGGCTATTTAAACAGGATCACAGGATAAATAAATTGTCATCACATGTCTTCTTTCCTTTTCCTGCATCAGAGTGAACTTAGTTCAACCAAAGGTCTTTATTCTCTTTCAGTGTCTCTTGATATTGTCTATCTTTATTTATGGACTGTAGAAATTTCTAAAGGTGTAGGGCCATAGTTTGCTTATCCTTGATCTTATGTACCAAGACCAAGGCATGGGCAGCAGGGACTATTAGATAACAATAATGTTTTCAGTAATAGTTCTTTACAGCTTACTCTTCTGGTTTGTTTTGTTTTGCATTTTCTGACAAA